GCAGGCCCACATATCCACCACAACCTAGTTGGTCCGGCACTCCTTGAAGAAAACTATTAAGTTTTATCTTGAAGATGTCCACGGTTGTTTCCCGGTGGTTTGCCCTGCAGGTTTGTACTTAAAAGTACTGAAACACCCTAGATTGTTTCGAAAGGGTGGTTGGAGGCGTGGCGTATCTGTGCCCAGGCAAGGGGGCGGGGATAGATGTTTGAAGTCAGTGTGCATTTAAATATAATGGGGGATATAGTGGGGGTGGGGAAGACTGGAGACTGTGGGACACAGGTAGAAGGGGGGATTACCTCATGTCTACTCTTAGACAGACGTTAGTAGTTTTGTAAGTAACCTGTTCATCTGTTCACATTCATTGACATATATATTTATTGCCTTCTTTGGCTCTAAATTAGGATGTCGTAATACTTAATAAATACATGTTAATGAACTAAAGCGCATACTGTGTATTAATTGCAACCCGTCCTCGACCCAAGTCCATTCCATCCAGCGGTCGACCCCACAGACGCTTCATAAATTTTAACATGCTGTTCATTCAAGACGGTAATTTCCTCAAATATAAATTAATATTATAATATATTAGCATATTGTGCATTTATTGGCATAGGTTAGGTTAGATGTTTAGGTTCTGTTGGCGATTATTTGTATTTGTAGTACGTGGGTGAAGCATTTACAGCGTTGTGGTTCGAACAGAATTCATCAGTGAAGCACTTGTTCCGGAAGTGTTTGAACGAAATCAGTTGTGAGTTTTCTAATCAGATTAGAAGGGGGAGGTGAATATAAAAGAGGGGAATGAATGGGAACTACGCAAGTTACAGCCCCGCTCCTGTGTCGGGTAAGTTCACTACGGGCTCACCACAGCCCGTGCTACTTGCCACTTTTGTTCCCAGTAGCTGAATCTAAAACAACATGAAGGTGGAGAGTAGTCACAAGTAGAGTCCCCAAATGGACTGTCTTTTGGCCCAGATGCGAAGGAGAGACTCATTCATATCAGTGTTTATTGATGAAGCAAACTATGAGTGACTTATATTTGCACACGCGCAACCACTTACGAAACCTTTATATCCTTACTTAATCGTGGCGGCTTTGTTTACATTTACTGAACAAGTGAACATCAAGTATCACGTCGACCGATATGGTTCAGGACACCATATATACTGTACATTCTCGATGCGTCTTTTTTTGTTTTGTTTTGGTGCAAGAACACTTTACTTCCTCTTGGATCTTAAGAGTGACCTTCGGGGCTCACTACACTTTATATATACAGGAAGGAATGATGGCTTGTGTAAGTACAGGTTCCGGTGATTGAGAGGTTCTTGCGGTGTGAGTGTGTGGATCTCTCGGGTGTTGCTGTTGCAGTATGAGACGGGCCCAAGCACCGCTGTGTAGTCAAAGCGTAATCTGTGTAACCTGTGAATTCCCCCAGAATAGCCACCCTAAAACAGTTCGCCACAGCCGGTAGCCACCCTGAACATCCCGTAAGAAGCGATGCATCAGGACCGTCTCCTGCAGGACCGCCTGTACTGTTCCGTCAGTCACTAGGAAATAGAGCTGCCTATTCTTGCCGAGACTTAGATGGCTGCTTACCAAGACTATGTTACACGAGGCTCCGTCATGACCTTGGTGTGTACACGTGATACAGCCACGAGAAAATATGAAGGCCATGCAAAGGGGTCGAACTCGCGTCCCTGGACCTATTCTATATTAGGCTCCCGGAGTAAAGTAGGTAACGTTACATTTTTGTAAAGCCACTGACATGTTGTCTGAAAGTTTAAGACATATACTTGGAGGAACTTTAATTACATCCATCTTGAACCCCGCTTGGGTCACTCACAGTACCTAAGCACTGTACACTACACTAGGAAGGCAGAGTACAGTGCTGTACACTACGGGACGATGCCTACACTCAAAGCGTTCAAGAATATGAATATTTCATTGCTAAATAGATAATCCTTTGTCTTATATTTGTGTAAGCGTAAGCAGCTTGACAAGATCAGGGGAACTAGTACATTAAACACCTGAAGGTCAGAAAGGCGGGATCCAAGAGCTAATACATCGATGCTGGGGGGGGGGGGGCAATGAGTAGTAAATACAGGTATTTTGGTGAGCTACAGAAAACGGGATCCACCTACATCACGACCGACAAGGCCACATACGCGCCCCGAGTCTCCTTGGCCTTGAAGGATTGATTGGAGGAGAACATGGAGGAGGAGGAGGAGGGGTTGGAGGGGAAGAAGGTATGTGAGGGGAGGGGAGGGGATCTGGCGGGGGAAGAGTAAGGCGGGGGGAGGTGCGACAACAAGCCGTGCCAAACACCATCTCGGGAGACAAAACACACCAAGAGAGCGCTGGGTCACAAACATCCCCTCGCCTCTTGTACAGCTTGACCTGCTGAGCCGCCAGGGACCGCCAGGAACCCCCTGGGACAGCCAGGGACCACAACATGGAAGCTGTTGCACCCACAGCCCGAGGAAGAAACGGAGGGAGGGAGGGAGGAAGGGAGAGAGAGAGCAAACCAGTATCACAAAGCATAAAAAAATTAATTTCACGTACACATCATAGAAATACAAATTGTAATTAACCTACATAGCTCGTCGTCACTCCCTGCATACACAACTGCAACACCTGCATACACAACCGCACAAACAACTGCAACACCTGCATACACAACCGCTCAAACAACTGCAACACCTGCATACAACAGACAGGTTATAATTACCCATCACAACTCTGTGCAATAACCTTGACCTTCCTTGCGCTCCCTTCTCATAATGATCCTATCTTGACCACTGATCACGACCACACACACACACACACACACACACACACACACACACACACACACACACACACACACACACACACACACACACCACTCGCCAGCCATCCCCCAAATTCGCCGGGGTGAAGGGTCTGGGGTACGGGACGAACACAAGCTGCTTGCGGTAGGCCTAGGTTAAATGCTGTTTGAAATGTTAGAAATTATAAAGATCCCTCACAGACCATGTTCAGGGAGTCAGGTGTGAAAAAATGTGTGATTTTTCTGTAGATGTTTTTGAAAAGAAAAAGGCATTAGAAAAACAAAAGATAAAAGAGTAATCTCATACAGTGGTTTCGGTGCTTTCAAGGGTCAAGGGGTTGATAGATATTGTGAGAGGGAGAGACAGGGAAAGAAAGGGGGGAGAGGAATGGAGGGAGAGATCAGAGAGGGGGAGGAGAGGGAGATGGTGGGGTTAGAGGAAAAGAGAGGGGGAGGAGAGAGAGAGGGGGGAAGAAGAGGGGGAGGAGAGGGAAGAAGAGAGGGAGGAGAGGGAAGAAGAGGGGGAGGAGAGGGAAGAAGAGAGGGAGGAGAGGGAAGAAGAGGGGGAGGAGAGGGAGGAATAAGGGGACAAAGTTGGAGAGGGCTGGACCAGCCTGGCCTCAGGCAGAGCTCGGAGTAGAAGAACTCCCGAAACCCTATCCAGGTATGTTCCAGGTATGCAGGAGAAGATTGGGGAGGGAGAGCATGAGGATAAGGAGGAGACTGTAGAGAGGGGAAGCTAGATGAGTGAGGGGAAGGTAGATGAGTGACTGGGAAGGAGCTTCAGCACCACGGCGTCGGCCATGTATGCGCCAATACCCCAGACAGCTGCCCCACCAGAGCGCCAGGCAGGACCAAGGGCACCGTCGCAGTGTGTGAGTGTGTTATGGTGTTCTCTGATCGTGCCTATGGCACGCCTGCTCCTCACTTAGTAACAGTTGATTGATTGACAGTTAAGAAGCGGGCAGAAAGAGCAGAACTCAACCCCCGCAACCCCAACTAGGTGAATACACCTCCCTAATATCTAAAGAGAGTCGTCGACCTCTGCTACAGTTAGCGACACTCCCACTGGGCGGCTCAGGAGATCAATGATCAATGGAGATCTATTGGGTGCAGTCAGACTTCGAACGTCAGAATAGTTAATCTATGACGCAACAAGGCCAGTAGGCAGGTCGCAAGAGCTAGAGCTCGCTCCCTCATCGTCACTGACAGGTAAGTGACTACATTAAAGCCCAAGGCTACAACAGCCTCATTATACAGTTTGATCTATAACTACAATAGTGCCATAGACATATAAATCCCGACTGTATCTACACATAACCAAATACAACAAAACATCGTAGCCACTGACTGACATTTTTGTTCCTCACATCTCGCCATAACAATATTAATTGACTAGGAACAGCAACAATCCGGCCAGAAGTGGCCCAGCTTGACCAGCAACAGCAACAATCCGGCCAGAAGTGGCCCAGCTTGACCAGCAACAGCAACAATCCGGCCAGAAGTGGCCCAGCTTGACCAGCAACAGCAACAATCCGGCCAGAAGTGGCCCAGCTTGACCAGCAACAGCAACAATCCGGCCAGAAGTGGCCCAGCTTGATCAGCAACAGCAACAATCCGGCCAGAAGTGGCCCAGCTTGACCAGCAACAGCAACAATCCGGCCAGAAGTGGCCCAGCTTGACCAGCAACAGCAACAATCCGGCCAGAAGTGGCCCAGCTTGACCAGCAACAGCAACAATCCGGCCAGAAGTGGCCCAGCTTGACCAGCAACAGCAACAATCCGGCCAGAAGTGGCCCAGCTTGACCAGCAACAGCAACAATCCGGCCAGAAATGGCCCAGCTTGACCAGCAACAGCAACAATCCGGCCAGAAATGGCCCAGCTTGACATCATCATTAAAAATGTGTTCAAAATATATATATATCTAATTATCAATGTAAATATCTCTGATGAGGTCTGATTAAGGCTTTTCGTGCCCTCTGTAGTCTTGAGCTATTTCTCACAGAATGAGTGCACAATACACCACCCTCCCACAGAATACAAAGCCCTTAAGATACGATAAGGTGTATATAAGACTTGCACATAATTAACAGAGGAGACATTTAGACGAATAAAACAATTAATTAACAACTGAAGCACAATAACTTTGACATGAAATTAAAGCAGAGAACACAAAGAAACACTGACTCACCTTAGTACCAATGCAGAAGAGCGTCTTGGAGACTGAGTGACCCATTTTGAGGAACTCTTTCAGGCGCTACTTATGAGGGTCCGTGTCCACACTCACCACCACAATGATTTGTCTCGCAAGTACTAAAGTGTCTGTGTGTTGACACGGTATAATGATCACCAACACTACGGTATAATGATCACCAACACTACGGTATAATGACACCAACACTATGGTATAATGACACCAACACTATGGTATAATGACACCAACGCTGGTATAATGACATGAACACTACGGTATAATGATCAACAACATTACGGTATAATGACACCAACACTGCGGTATAATGATCACCAACACTTCGGTACAATGACACCAACCCCTAGGAATAATGACACAAACACTGCGGTATAATGATCCCCAACACTACGGTATAATGATCACCAACACTACGGTATAATGATCAACACTACGGTATAATGATCAACACTACGGTATAATGATCACCAACACTACGGTATAATGATCACCAACACTACGGTATAATGATCAACAGTACGGTATAATGATCACCAACACTACGGTATAATGATCACAAACACTACGGTATAATGATCACAAACACTACGGTATAATGATCAACAGTACGGTATAATGATCACAAACACTGTGGTATAATGATCACCAATACTACGGTAAAATGATCACCAATACAACGGTATAATGACACCAACACTACGGTATAATGATCAACACTACGGTATAATGACACCAACACTACGGTATAATGACACCAACACTATGGTATAATGACACCAACACTTCGGTATAATGGCACCAACACTACGTTATAATGACCACCAACACTACGGTATAATGATCTCAAACACTGTGGTATAATGATCGCCAAGACTGTGGTATAATGATCGCCAACACTACGGTAAAATGATCACCAACACAACAGTATAATGACACCAACACAACGGTATAATGTCACCAACACTATGGTATAATGACACCAACACTATGGTATAATGACACCAACACTACGGTATAATGACACAACACTACGGTATGACACAGCACTACGGTATAATCACCAACGCCACGGTATAATGACACCAACACTACGGTATAATGACACCAACACTACGGTATAATGACACCAACACTACGGTATAATGATCACCAACGCTACGGTATAATGATCACCAACACTACGGTATAATGACACCAACACCACGGTATAATGACACCAACACTACGGTACAATGCTCACCTACACTACAGTATAATGATCACCAACACTACGGTACAATGATCACCTACACTACGATTAATGATCACCAACACTACGGTATAATGATCACCAACACTACGGTATAATGATCACCTACACTACGGTATAATGATCACCAACACTATGGTATAATGATCAACAACACTACGGTATAATGACACCAACACTATGGAATAATGACACCAACACTGATATAATGGCACAAACACTACGGTATAATGACACCAACATTATGGTATAATGACACCAACACTATGGTATAATGACACCAACACTATTGTATAATCACCAACACTACGGTATAATATACACTATTCCTGTCATTAAACCAAACTGTTATACTTTTCCTCAGAGTCCTAATTGCCATGTAATGATTAAGCTTGAGGCCGCCTATCTCTCACCACTACTGACGCTGTGTGCCTCGCCCTGGTCGGTCTTAACAAGCAAACAGCACCCAAACAGCAACAGCTATAATATATTTACATTTAATATATGACAGTTAAGATGAACTACGAGGAGACTCCGCTAAGGCAGGGTGAGTGTACAGCACTTGGAATGGATATGAGGAAACGATTAAGGATCGGCGCCCAATCACTTGAACTGTTGGGGATCGAACGCCGAAGTGCAAGAAACAAGGCCGTCGCACTAATGGGTACCGTGTGGTCCTGGTAAACTGTAAACACCAGAGAGTACCTGGGGCATACCTGGAGTTGGTTTCGGGAGTTCTACTCCTCCCAGAGTCCATCCTGGCAGTGGCCCCGGTAAACTATAAACTCCGGAGGCAGATATAACGAAGGCATTTCAAGAGACGGAAGGTTCGTACAGTCAACGTTCCATCGTACTGTTCCGTGAGGATTTTTTAGCCACAACGAACTCCATTCCCGACAAGCACGATGTACTACTAAAGCAGTAACTAGAAGCTTTACTTGTGACACGGGTTGTTCGCACGTAAAGCTTGTGTTGTTTGCATTATTAAAGCTTAAACGGCAAACAATTTCAAAACAGTGAATATTTGTTGACAATTATGATATCCATTTGTTATCTGTTTTGTAAGAGTTTGTAAGGTGAGCTTTAGTGGCTCACGTACACAACAACAACCATTTACGTAAGATCACACATTCTCCAACATGCCTGTGTACTTGGTGTATACATGTGTGTGTATTTTAGTACGTGTGTATACCATATAGATGAAGACGCGTAAGCATATTGCTATACAGTAGAGGGCCACCCTTATGCATGGGGAAACTATACAGTAGCTGAAAGCACGTATAAATGCGTAAATACAATAGCTGAGGACGTGTATACCTGCGTACGTACAATAGGCGAAGGCGGGTATATACAAGCGCGTGTTTATACCGGTATATATACAAACGCGCGTGTGTGAGCGAGGCGGAGAGTGCACATGTATAACCCGGACGGAGGTACAGGGGTAACTGGTCCACTGACTGTCACATGTGCCAAGCCTCTCACCTTGACTGTCCTTACAGCCTCCCCCCTTCTCCTGCCCCTCAACCCCCACCCCGTCCACCTACGCTACCTCCACCCCCTTCCCTTTCACCACCTCCACCTGTCTTCGTGAATTAGGTCTACAATTGGAGGTGGCTTCCACAACTTCTATCAGTGTATTCCACTTGTGGACTAGACGGTATAGGGTACGAGTTATTCTTCTCTTACATTTCTTTGACTCGTTTGCGTCTCTTGTTACGTTTTCTTTGAACTTGTGCGTCTCTTGTTGCGTTTTCTTTGAACTTGTGCGTCTCTTGTTGCGTTTTCTTTGAACTTGTGCGTCTATTGTTGCGTTTTCTTTGAACGTGTGCGTCTCTTGTTGCGTTTTCTTTGAACTTGTGCGTCTCTTGTTGCGTTTTCTTTGAACTTGTGCGTCAATTGTTGCGTTTTCTTTGAACTTGTGCGTCTATTGTTGCGTTTTCTTTGAACGTGTGCGTCTATTGTTGCGTTTTCTTTGAACGTGTGCGTCTATTGTTGCGTTTTCTTTGAACTTGTGCGTCTCTTGTTGCGTTTTCTTTGAACTTGTGCGTCTATTGTTGCGTTTTCTTTGAACGTGTGCGTCTCTTGTTGCGTTTTCTTTGAACGTGTGCGTCTATTGTTGCTGTTCGTTCCCCTTTCTTGCTCCTGAACTCATCACACTCTTGTTCCTTTGGTGTTTTGATGTGGGTGGGTGTCAGGGGGGGTGATGTGGGTGGATGGGGGAAGTGTTCCCCATAGCAGAGCTTCGCCGCCAAGCAGGGTTTTAGTTTAGTCCATTTATTATGCACCCCATACCCATCTTGAGGACAGGACATAACAGAATGTCATCTGCAGATTGTTCCCCCGTCTCCCTCCCTCCCTCCCACATTTATCTCTCCGTCCGGTCCAACCAGGGAAGGGAGAGAGGGTGGGGGACGGGGAATGGGATGGAAGGAATGGGAGTTGGGGAGAACAGTTGGGGAGAGGGGAACAGCAGACAGTGGGCCAGCAGACAGGGGAGGCAGGAGGCAGGGGGGCAGCAGACAGGGGAGGCAGGGGGGCAGCAGACAGGGGGGCCAGAAAGACGGAAAAGCATCGTGATGACCGTATCCTCTTGCACTTTACTGACCATCCTGTTCAAGCGACCGAGTCTCTACCGGTTCAGAACACGGCCTCCCCCCCCCCCACCCGAGGACACACCAGGGAGGAGGAGGGGGGGGCATCCCAGGGTCCCCTCGCCACTTCACATTCTAGAACATTCCATTTGTTTGCTATCCTGACACTATAACTTGATATAGTGATATACCTAACAATAATAATAATAATAATTTGAAATGCAAAATAAATTAACCAATTTATTTAAGCGTCCAGGGGAAAAAAATAAGGTTATAAAGGTAAAATACTTTGACAGGAAACAACAAATCTAGACCGTCGACCCACCACACCATGGCGCCAGGAACTGTCCGTGCCGGGCCGGGCTCGAGCCTCTGGGCCCCGACCACGTGGCCCAACCTTCCTCCTGGACGGCCAACACCTGGAGGAGTGTTTCGTAACACAGTTGGCTTCGTTCTCGACTTACAATCGAGGGATCCAGGGTTTCCATGCCCGTGCAGGCTAGAAAAAGTTGGGGGGGGGGGGGACGTTTCTTTTCATCTAATGCCTCTGTTCACCTATCACTAAATAGATATCTGGGAGTTAGGCAGCTGTTATAGGGGTTGTATCCATATATTTATATACATATACAGGCTTCCTGTCCCCGACAACGAGAAAGAGGGTAAGCCAACTGCCGGATACGGTTGGGTGTTGCGGGCTTAAGAATGGGTGAACATGTCCACACACACACACACACACACACACACACACACACACACACACACACACACACACACACACACACACACACACACACACACACACACACAATGGGCGTATAATTACCCACCGGCACGTTTCTTTTGTGTTGACAATAATACTCTAAAGAGACGACCGTGCTGTCAGAGGTACAATGATGCACATGCAACACGGGTGCGTGAGATAGGATGGTCGGTCCGCTAGCACCGTCCACACCAGGATGGTCGGTCCGCTAGCACCGTCCACGCCAGGATGGTCGGTCCGCTAGCACCGTCCACACCAGGATGGTCGGTCCGCTAGCACCGTCCACGCCAGGATGGTCGGTCCGCTAGCACCGTCCACGCCAGGATGGTCGGTCCGCTAGCACCGTCCACGCCAGGATGGTCGCTCCGCTAGCACCTTCCACGCCAGGATGGTCGGTCCGCTAGCACCGTCCACGCCAGGATGGTCGGTCCGCTAGCACCTTCCACGCCAGGATGGTCGGTCCGCTAGCACCGTCCACGCCAGGATGGTCGGTCCGCTAGCACCGTCCACGCCAGGATGGTCGCTCCGCTAGCACCTTCCACGCCAGGATGGTCGGTCCGCTAGCACCGTCCA